TAAAACGTCCCTGTACAAACTCATCAGCCAAAGATTCAACTAAGATTTGCCAATGGATACAGATCGCGATATTTGGGATTAAAGCGGAAACATATCGACCTTGATTCATAGAGATCCACGAGAAGATTGAAGAAAGATTATAACAAGATTCAAAGTCAAAAATCTGTCACCAATCTACAAGATCTTAAATGCAAAAAGGAAACAACTATGGAATCAATTACAAATCTGATATAGATTCGTTGGGAGATTGAATGAAGTATACAACTCCGATGATTATAAATAAGGAGCTGAGGGGGTCAAGACCAAAACACCAATTCACAAGTCGAGGAAATTACATAGAGACCTGAAGAGGGAATCTTGTTGCGGAGCGCTGGAACACTGAGGAACCAAGTCAACATCACACCCATGGAGGCTTGGGGTTCTCTTTTCTTTATTATTGTTTTTGAATTCAGTATGCTAGGCTGAACTTTTATGTAGTTAGGGTAGACGAAACCCAATTGAATCGTTTATGTTTATGGATTAAATTGTTCTTGAATTATTTTCTTTTTATAATTGAATAAATTTATCTGTCTTTAATGTTTTCTATAAGTTTGCTCCTTATAGAATGATTTTGGGGAATTGTATGGCAATAGGGATATTGGTGCATGAACCCTGACTTGATAAATTAATCATAATCCTTGTGATCTAGGGATAGACATAGGGTAATTATGCAATCTTTAAATTCTTAATCTTAATGCATATTTTCTTGTGGAGTAATCGGAGAACTAGAGTTCTTTCAAGATCACATAGATTTAGGGTAATAAGGAATTGAGCCATAATTAACTTAGATAGAATTGATTAGCATTATATTAAGAAAATGTTCTTGACTGTTTAATTCATAACATAACGAGGAGATTGGGGGAAGTCGAAACCCTAACTACGCTTGTTTTAATTCTTTAATCAATCATCATCTTTTGCAATTGTCTTTTTAATTCTGAAATTTCTTTAATTGCATCTCATTACTTGTCTTTAATTTTTAAGTTCTTCAATTACAATTCTCTCAAATCCAACTTTTGATTGTCCAACTAAAACGCGATTAGCGAACTAGTGCTTGAAAATTCGATCCTCGTGGGAACAATCTCGTACTCCGGTACACTTTATTACTTTACGACCGGTGCACTTACCGAGTCGCAACAATCATTCAAGGCGCCCTCTATCCGATACACCCGAGATATTCCTAGAGTGCTCCTCAACGAATAACATCTTTATGGCCCCAGGCCAACTGAAACTCCCTCGCGGAGACCTATCCAGTGGAAGTTCGCAACGCCATAAGGCAATCTATCTACTGGCCAAAGATATGGTACATCTTATGTACCCAATATATATACATATGCATGAGCATGTTATGATTACATCATTGACATACAGCTTCCAACCACTACCTCATGGGCATGGTGGAGCACATACAGGGATTAACCTCAGTACTAAGAGATTACCTGTAAACAGCTCAATTCCAAAGCTTACTTGAATTTCACGTATTTAATCCAATGCTTCTAAACTTGTTCTTCAACCTTTGTACCATCAAATTACAATTAATACATATTAACACATCTTTCATAACTACAAGTTAATACAAGTTTCTAAGCTAACAATCTACATAACTTTTAATTTGGTTCAAATACTAACCAATCAACATTAAATGTCCTAAGGATCATTGTTTTACATGACCAATGAATCAAACACTTAATTTGCACAATTAATTCTAAAAGGCCGAAATACACACCCTTTTTACAACATTGACATCCTGTGCCATTTTAATCACGAAAAATTCATCTTAACTCCGATTACCCTGAAATCTTGATATGATATAATAAACACATAAATCTTTAATTTGGCACAAACCACACTCCATTTGGAGTACTGTAGCTCCAGATAAGATTTTTTAACATAATAGCCCCTATGTTGATCCTAAAAGGTCCATAAGGTTCTTTTGAAATTCCTATACTTCATTCTTTTTGCAAACCAACTCTAAATCATATTACACTCATATTTCCACATACAAACTTGATTAAATCATCAACCAATCCAATCATATAATTTTGCACACTTAAGCTCCAAAATACCCTAAATGGTCGAATATGTACTCAAGGGTACCAAATTGGCATCAAGAGGACACGCGTTCAATCAAATACTACTTGTAATTGGTGATTCTATACTTGTTCTTGAAATGGAAATGCGAAGCTATGATCAGTGGCGGAGACAAGATTTAATTTTAGCTTAGGTCAAAAAATTTGACATATCAAATTATCAAAATATTTATCGTAATTACATAAATCTATTAGAAAATTTTTGACATATCTCTGGGCTAACCTTTTAATCATTTTAATAATATAATATATTTATGATATATATTATTCACTTAAAGACATATTCTAATATCATGATTTGTAACACTAATTTTCAAAGTAATAGGATTGATGTTATTTTAACAAATAATAAATATTTATTTAAAATTTAAAATATAATATAAAATTAAATTAGTAAAGAAAGTACAAATTATATGTATATATACATATATGAAAATTTTTATGAACATTTTCATGTGATCTTTATGAACATTATTTCATGTGATGTTAATGAAAGTTTATTTCATGTGGTCTATGTGAATAAAAAATGTATCTTTTATATTTTAATTTGTTTTGGGCCTATAAACTTTATTTTGCAGCTTAATAGACCTTAAAGGCCGTATTAGTTTTTTTTTTTAATTTTTTATAATAGGTCAGGCCAGACATATAAGTCAAGCCTTTAATAGGCTAACGGGCCAGTTTAGGCTCTAAATATTTTACATAAATTTAGGCTATCAAAGCCAAAGCCTAGCCTAATCTGGTCTCATTTACAACCCTAGCCGTGACTTATGAAGAACATCAACGTAAAGAGACAGTGCAAACTTCACCATTAAAAAGAAACATGGAACAATCAGCAACAAATGTCTAAAGTCATTTAAATGACATTAGATCCACATAAATCATTTAATCAGTGTTTAGATATTTTAAAAATTTTAAGAAAACAAAATAAATAAAATAAAGAAGTTGTTAATGGGTATATACCTCATACTCCCTATATATACATATATCTTCTTTGATTTTTTTTCTTTAACAGCTTTCACTGATTAATTACCAAAATTTTCATTCTTGTTGTGAAATCAAATACAAATAACATCAAGAAATAATTCAATTCCATTACCAAAAGCAACTGTAGCTCTACATTAAAATAATTTGTTTTAAAAAAAGGTAAACGTATAACAACACTCCATTTTTTAAAAGAAATAAAATCAATAAATACAACCGCACACAAAAAAATTTCTAAATGAAAAAAAGGGACATGAATTTTACTCATGTTTGAGAAACCCAATAAACAATTATGGTCAACAAAGACAAAAAATCTCTCTTTTACAAGGTTCAAAAATGTAAATCAATTTTTTTCCCAGTAGACAATATAATTACAAATGCATATTCCAAGAACATGTATTCGTTAAATCTTGAAAAAGGAATGAAACATCGTATCTTGTTGCAAAATAACTGGGTTCTGGGTGATGAGGGCGAATAAGAAAAAAAAAGTTAGAAGAAAATCCTAATTGAAAAATACCCTAATTAAAAAGTTAGAAGAACACCCTAATTGAAGAAAAATGAAAGAAGAAGAAAGCAGCTCCAAATCTTCGTTTAATGGAAGTTTTATAATTTTAGCTAGGGCCAACTTATAATTTTAGCTAGAGCCCAATTATAATTATTATATAATTATAAGAAGGAGGTTATACTTATTACTTTTTTTTACTACCAAATCTTAACCATTTATTTCGTCAATCTAATGGTTATAATTTATTATGTGACACTTATTAATTAATTATTAATTTTTAATACATAACCGTTAGATTGACGAAAATCAATAGTTAAGATTTAATAGTAAGAAAAAAAGGTGGTAAGTGTAACCTTTCCTTAATTATATATAAGAGTAAATATCTTTTTCGGTCCTTAGCAAATTTTACGATACCCGCTTTAGTCCCTTGTAAATAAAAAGGCTATTCGTGGTCATGCCCGCTTTAGTCCCTAACAAAGAAAAAAGCTATTCGTGATTCCTAAGAAATTCAAAGTGGACCCATTTTAGTCCCTTTTGAGGGATTAATGTGGGTTTTTTTGAATTTGTGAGGGACCACGATTTTAACTGAATGAGCCCATTTTGAATTTCTAATGAACCACGAATAACCTTTTTATTTGCTAGGGACTAAAGCGGGCATGACCACGAATAACCTTTTTATTTACTAGGGACTAGGGGTGATAAATGAACCAGGGGCCTTTCAGGGGCCTTTGGCTCGGCTCGTGAAGTCATGAGCTTATATGCTTAAAATTGGTTATTGGAACCAGGCTTGAACTTGTATAAAAACTTGTTTAATAAAAAGTTGAACTTGTATAAAAACTTGTTTAATAAAAAGGCCTCAGGCTTCAATTCAAAAGCTCGGCCTTAGAGCCTCTCAGGCTGACCTAATATATTAATATTTATTTATATTTTATATTTTTTATACTACTTATAATAGCCCTCTGTCTCTCCCAATTCATTTCACCATGTTTTATTGGTTAAACAGATTTTTGAATAATTTTGTTCTATATTATGCTGTTTGGATAGTGCTATTGTTTTACTTTTGTTTGGATAAATTTTTGTTGTTTTATTTTTTTTTAAAACAGGCTAACAGGCTAAATAAGGATTTCAATTTTTGTAAATAAGCTAGGCCACATACCGATAATTATATTCGTAATAGGTAACAAGCTTGATCAGGCTAACACATTTAAACACATTCAAACACATTCTTAGCCTTTTAAGACCAAAGCTCGGCTCGGCTCGGCCCGGCCCGTTAACACCCCTACTAGAGACTAAAGCGGGCATCGTAAAATTTGTCGAGAACCGAAAAAGAAGTATTTACTCACTGTATATATAATAAGTAGGTGGTGCGGGCCCTACCTAAATAACACATGGCGCACGGGGGCTATGATAATGAAGATGTAAGGGTTCTCATCTTTAGGGGTTTAGTAAAGAATCCCCTTTTTTGTTATAAAAAAAAAAAGAAAAAAAGAATCCCCTTTTATTGTTCTTTTTGATTGTTTTCTTTCCTTGTGTTGTACATCAATCGTTTTGCCTCGTGATAATTTCTGTTTGAAGGAACTACAGGGTTACGGTGATTATTATGAGGGTGAGGGACAAGGCTATGAGGAGGAGGGTGGGGAAGAGTATGAAGAAGAGGAAGAAGAGCCTCGTAAGCCCACCAAGGAAGAACTGGTTTACCTTGAGTTGAGGCAGAAATTGAAAGAATCAATTAGAAAGAAAATGAAGAAGGAGAGTAGCAGTAGTACTTCCTGCCCAGATTCAGCCGATCGAAAGAAGAATAAGCTTCCTTATGACAAGTGAGTCTTGCAACCAACTTTTCTCTAACCTCCTTTTCCTTAGCATTTTGATTGGGGCTTTGGCTCAAGAATTCTAATTTTTTTTTTCTTTTAGTAAGTTCATTTGTACCTTCTCTCTTTACCATTGCTCTTTGGGGGCGTGACAACATTGATTTGATAAAGCTGTTTGTTTGTCATGGAAATTTGTATGAAGTCGGTTGTTTAAGGGATATAAACTTGTTATCTTATTTGATAAATTTTTATTGTTATCTTATTTACCAGATTTTGGAAGTTGTTTTTTTTTTTTTCTGTTAGGAGGCTAGATGCAGCATGTTATTATTAAAATCTTAACATTTTTTTTGGCTTTTCCTTACAGCGGTATAGATGTGTTCGTTGCCTTATAACGCCTCAATTTCTTTATGTTTATAACTGAGGCTCTTTTTTATTTTTTTTGAATTATTTGTAATCACTTTTTTATTTGATAGCTTTAACTTTAATCTTGCTTTCTTTCTTTCTTTTTGGCTTGGTTTTCAAGAATTTTTTTTTATTTTTTTTGAAAATAAGGGAAAACATTAAACAGAATTACACAATCTTGGGTTTTTAAGATATTTTATTTCGTTTGTGCAATTTGTGATTTTGGGGCTAGAGATCTTATAGTTTTTTTTTACTTCCCTTTTTTCTTTTGTTGGTGATATTTATTGTACATGCTTTGTGCTCTTCATGAATATAGTTTTTTTTTTTTGCTTGGTAAGTTTAAATTTGTGAACAGTAATAGCTATAATATTGTCTCCATCTTTTGTTGCAGTTATGGTTCCTTTTTTGGCCCTTCTCAACCAGTTATTGCACAGAGAGTAATCCAGGAAAGCAAGTCATTGTTTGAAAACCGGCATTTTGCATCTGGGATTTCTAATCCACTTGACATTGTATGTATTCAGAATCTTTGTTTAGGCATTCATTTTAAATCTTTCATATAAAGTTCTGCATGATATTATCGATATTCATTTTGGGCTATTCATTTTAAATCTTTCATATATCCTTTCTTTTTTGGAAATGATTTCAAGCTGTTAATTTGACTATTTGGGGTCTGAGGGCGATTGGCACCTGTTTCCCATTTAGCAATGTGACAAAAAATTAAATAAAGAAATAAAAAAATGAAAGTTGCATAAGAAACTTGTTTAATTATATTATAAGGAAAAGATCAAAAACCCTTATATGGTTTAGGCTTGAATCACCTACCCTCATATGGATTTTTCCACCCAAGCTCACTATTAACTCCATTAAACTTTAGGTTATGATGTCCGTTTTACTCCTCTGGTGCCTCTCTCTTTTTTCTCCTCTGATACTCCTTTTTCTATTTCTGCAACTCATTACCCATTTAACATGTGTACTATCAGTTATTATGAAAATTACAGTCAGTTTGAACAGGTCCCTTAAGTTATTTGTGGATATTGATGTGCTGTCTGAACCAGCATTGAAACCCAAAAAATTCAGGTGTTTTTTCTTCAAAATGCACGCTGGTGTCACTTCAAGATTTTTTATTTTGTTGAGAGGAACATATAGGGCAGAGAGACCATTCTTAGGGTCAGTTTGATATGGGGTGAAATTTTTTGGATCACCTTTCCATTGGATGGGTAGGTGACTCTGATATGGACCCATCTCTAAGGGCCCAAATTTCTCAAAGTGTGTAGGACTAAAATGTGAAAATTTGGGCTGCTGCTGATCCTAAGTCCCATAACCAAGTGGTGGGAATATCCACCACACTCCAAAGGCATGAATGAAACAAAAGGAGCCAGCTCAGCCAAGTGGGACTCGCTACATAGTGGGGATGTCAGTTTGTTGGCATCATTTAGAATTTGTATGTATGGACCTGGGAGAGTGACAGAGCCTTTCAAATCAGTACTGGGATATTCCATTTCTTTCTGTGTTTTATTACATCATCACCCTTCCTCTCTTAATTTCCTACTTTCTTATGACTTCCAAACATCCATTTGTACTTGCATCATCATCCTTCCTCTCTTCTTAATTTCCTACTTTCTTTTCCTTCTACCATAACCCTATAATTCTTAACATTACACAACACCTTTTGTTTTTGTACTAGAAATATTTGGTGTTCTTTAATGTATTTTTCTCCCTGTAGTATTTTTTGGATGCAGCTTTCTCATAGTTATCTTGTCTGCAGAAGAAGAACAAGAATAAAGTATCTAATGGAGGATCAAAGTCTTCACCACCCAAAGTCTACGAGGTCTTGTGGCTATCTATGTAAAGTTCTTCTTGTAACTTCATAACTTAGCCTCTATGGTCTAAATGGTTGTTTTTCATGTTTGTACAGATGAAAGTTAAAGCCCAGAAACTCAAGGACTCAAGAGATTACTCCTTTCGTTTGTCTGATGATGCAGAGCTTCCAGCTCCTTCGAAAGTGCCCCCACCTCAGAATATGTCTGTACGAAATTCTGGTACATTGCTCTTGGCTGTGTTTATATGGTGTTGGATTGTGGGGTTAAAACATATTATTGTAATTGAGGAAATTTATACAGGATTTTTGCTTATATTTTGAAGGACGACCAGGTCAAGTTACCGTGAGGAATAAACCACCTTTGAGCAATGGTGGCAAGCATGTTCATGGAAGTCTTGAGGGACGGAAATTAGGTTCTGTGGCTGGCCATTTGCCTCCTAAGTCAGGATCCAGTTATAAGTTAAGTTCTACCAGTAAGCCTAGTATTGCATCAGCACATTCCAGAAAACTGCTTGGTAACAACGGTGGGAATGGACCAGGCTGGCCAGTTGGGGCGAAAGACTTGTCTTCAAAGATGTCTGTGAGTGTCACAGGGAATAAGTCAGGAAAAGACCTGCGAGAACCAAATAAACCTAAAATGATATCAAAACAACCAGTGGCATCATCAAAACCACAGGTGCAATGCTATATACTTAGGCACACTTACTCATGTATCCATTATGTTATTGATTTTTAATTTTAGCATGTCCCAATAATATATCGTCAAATTCTTATTGAAGTTATATGTTCTCTTGCTTTGCAGATAAATAAACCTCTTAAACAAAATTCAGTGCATATGGCTTTGCAAGATCGCCGCCCAATGAATAAGGTTGGGAAACGGCACTTTGATGATGTTGAGGACAAAAAGTATATTAGTATAATGATCAGATCAATGTTTAAGAAGTAAGATTTTTATGTTTACAATTGATATGTTGATAACTTTATTTTTATACAATGTGTTATTTGTTTTTGTTTTTCGGGGTGAGGAAGAAAATGAAACTCTTGAATGTTCTTTATTACATGATCTCATTCTGACAACAGGACAAACAAATTACCTTTACCATGTAGCTGAAGCTTGTAAGTTAGATTGCTGATGTTGGAATTCATTCGCAGACTAGGGCGATACTTCTGTTTAAATTCACCTTGATTGTTATGCTACTTGTGTCTTATTTTTCTTATGGCAATGGAAGGATAGGGTTTTTTTGTGTGTGTGTGTGTGTTGGGGAGGGGGGATTGCAATGCCTGTCTCTTGATTTGTCTTATAGTGTTAGCCAGAAAAGGGGGGGTTGGGGAGGGACCAAATTTCACTGAAACTATGTTTCAATAACTACTGCTTGTCTTGATCAGTGTTGTAAAAACGTAGTGTCGAAACGTAGAAACGTACCGTTTCTATGTTTTTATGACAAAAAACGTGTCGAAACGGTAGTTGAAACGGTTCTGGGTCGAAATGGTTCAACTCGGTTGACTCGGCGAGTTTACCGAGTTGACTCAGTTTTTTTTTTTTTTTTTTTTTTTAAATGAATGCAAAAGGGAAGAGTGGAATACGCAGTCTGGGAAAAGCCAAATTAAGATCGTGGCCTCTTTGCATTTTAAGATTTTGGGAACGAATAGTTGAGACTGAGAGGCTTGGTGAATTTAAGTCTGGAACCTTTGGTGAAGCTGTAGACAATAATGATGATGATAATGAAGTCATGACCTTCTTGTTCTTCCTGGAACCACCTCCAACGTGAACGTTTCTAAGAGACCCACCTTCAAGAACTGATAAATTATTGTCCCAGAATAATTAATATTCTAGGTGTCAAGAACCACCCACCTTCTTGACAGTGGATCTCAGAATATTAATTATTTTTCAAAATAGAAAAATATGTATAGTTACGTACTTTAAAAAATGATAAATTATTAATTAAATTTAAAAAATAATTAATATTCTGGGCTTTGACAGAGGATCCAAGACGTGGCCCGTGCACCATTAATTAAGAGGATTTAACTAAATTTTTTAGTATATGAGTCTGGGTCCTAGGACACACATTAGTTAGTAGAGTGGAGTGTTTTGGTTTTATATATGTTAGATATATATTGTTTTGTAAGTAATAAACTCTTACTTTCGTTTACGTTTTGCGATTTTACATTTTTGCTCACCCTTACCGTTTCTACGTAGACTCTACATTTTAACAACATTGGTCTTGATTTCTTTCATTACTGACCATTTAGAATTGTTGGTAATCATTTATTGGGTCATTTGCAGTTACGACCCCAAGAAATTTGTCAATGATGATGATGATGATAATATGGAAGCAGGCTTTGATGAAATCTTAAGGGAAGAAAGGAGGAGGTTTGTTTTCTTCAGTTTAAAATTAAACAAAGTTATTTATTACTTTATTCAATCTTACTTTTTCTTGTTCACTAAGTTGAACTCAAGACCTAATGCTAAGAACCTTTTCTTTTTCTCTTTTAGTTTTTAGAAGTTGGCCTTATAAGAAACTTCTGGCTTAAATGCTTATCCTTGCCTCTTGCCCTTCTACTTTTTCTTCCCTAAACCGTTTGCATGCATCCTAGACTTCAGTTTCCCTTTCGTTTTACGTATACATGATTGTGTTATGAATTCTGATGTTGTCATTTATGATTATGGTTTTGGCTGGTGTTTCTTTATCATTAGTTTTTCGAGTTGTTGATGAATTTGTTTAATACACTTGCAGTGCCAAAATTGCTAAAATGGAAGATGAGGAGCAACTTAGGTTAATCGAGGAGGAAGAGGAAAGAGAGCGGAGAAGACGACTGGCAAAGTTAAAGAAACGGAAGCTTTGCGAGTACTAGTTACTAGTAAACACCAACACCATCGTTTGTCTTCCATAACATGTCATTGTTTGGTTAAATGGAAATTCTCTTTTACCAGGGCAGTTTGAGTAAGGGATTAAATTAATCAATTCAATGGAGATGGAAATCTAATTGGTCCACATTCAATGCGTTTTAGTTTGCATTACTTGGAAAAGATATACCGTTGTGTAAACGCAATTTTTTTTTTAGGTCAAGGGTGGGGGAACGGGTTGCATTGTATGATTTGAGCTTTTGCACATTATTTGACTGTTATATCATAATCCAATGGATGGATTGGAAAATGAGATGGAATTGTTCCCTAGTGGGCCTCATCTGTTATTCTATTTTAATTTTTGTTAACAAATAATAATTGTGGGTATCCAAATGAGAAATTAAAAGGTGTAATTGAGAAATTGAAGAGAACAACGTCAAGTCTGACTCGAGGTTCTTAAGGGAAAGGTTGGGGAACATTTGTTTTCAACTTACCGTATGTGGGGTGGTGATCGAAGGATGAGCGCTGAGGAACACACGAAGGTAGGACTGCCCCTATGGAGTAGGACGATCTTCTCCAACACAATATCAATAAAGATAAAGGGCCAGAGATGGAGGATCATATAAAGGGACGGTCCAATGCAAGAAAGAGGACGGGAATCTATTGAGAAACAACAGTCTAACGCGAAGTTCTCATCGCTCTAGAATCAGCCCCGAAAAGTCATCCTATAAAGACTCACTTGTCGTCCATTACAACGGAGGAGGGGTAAGGATGACAATGATGAGGAGTATTGGATGGAACAACTGCGCATAGAGGAACACATATGCGACTTCGTATGGGGCTCTACCAATGCTTTTTGAGTATTACTATCGCACCGGAAATTGGATGCTACAACTTATCTTATATAATGTCTTATTGATAAGACATTATATAAAATACAAAAGTAGTTTTTTTTCTCCCTCTTCGGTACAATACAAGCTGATGTGGCACACTCTTATTGGCCGGATGTACTTGCGATGGTAGTATTGAAATTTTTTTCCTTAGTCACAACTTTTCTTAATAAAACAGTGTGATGAAGGGAACTGATATTGTTTCTATTATGAGAATAGGCCATAGGATGTTAACTAACCAAAATGCACTATGGTGTAGGATTTTCCATAGCTAATACAATGTGGATGAAGGATTAATTCCAATGATCACAACATCACCCCAACAGTACTAATCTTTGGAGAGGAATTGTAAAATGTTGGGCGCAAATAGTCAGGAACTTTATTCCGGTTTGATCAATATGGCTTCCTGACGAGTCAACCCTGCTACAACAAACAGTGCGAGTATTGGTAGAACACATGAAAGGTTGGACAATTACGTAATATGTCGATAAATAGGGTTTGTGGAATTAGCAGCTCCTTTAACATTATCTCCCAAAAATATTTTGGATGGAAGGTTTTCGGTAAAGTTAGCATATTCTTTGGTCACCAACGATACAGTCATACAGACAACACTATAGATGTCTATTGGAAGCATGTTTGGAATTGGGTGGGTTAGGAAAGAATAAAGTTATTTCTTTGGCTACTAATGGGTGAAAAGCCATTCACTAATGATGAACGACATAGGAGACACATGAGAACTAATGCATCTTGCCCCAGGTGCAACTACCACATTGAGGTTTGCCTCCATGTTTGTTAGAGATTGTCCCTATCAAAAGAACTCTGGTGTCTTTTCATAACCTTGATTGGTGTGATGGATTCCTAGAGTTGTTAACATCCAACCTTTTTGAGTGATAGGAAATGGGGTTCTGATCCCAACTGGCCTCAAATTTTGGGTATAGTATGCTGGTTTTATGGAAACAACCTTCACCTCACACTTGTTAGTCGGGTTTAACCCAAAGTGATATTTTTTTTTTTATGCTGGTTTATGTGGAATGCCCGCAATGCACTAATCTTTGACGACTGCTCAACTTCTGTCTCTAGAGTTATCCACAAAGCCAAATGCTTCCGGGATAAGGTGATAACTTCTAGGTAGCTTCTGCAGATGTCGAGTCTTCAGCCATAGGAAAGAACAGAGAGGGGTGGTTCGATTGGATTTTTCCAATAACTGGGATGGGTTAAAGCTTGGCTTTGGTGGTGTGCTGTGATAGTTCGGGACACTAGCTGGGACTGGGAGGCTTCTCCAAGAATCTAGGTTGGGGAATTAAGTTGATCTGGCATGGACTTATGGAAGAATGGCTTTAAGAAAGTATGGATGGAAGGAGACTCCCTTGTTGCAACCCAACTCATTCAGCAGTGCTGCCATGACCAACATATGTTGTTTAATTTGGTGAATCTCATCAGACAAGCCTGTCAACGTCGTTGGATTCTCTGCCTCTCTCATACATATAGGAAAGGGAATAATGGGTGCTTGACTTATTGATTTTTATATATATGATGAGCGGTACCAAATAGATAGATAGAGTAATCTCTTCCTTTGTTCAAGAAAATGAATTTCTAGTTTGCATGGTCCAAATCATTGATCCTAAAAATTTCTACAGCAAGATTCGGTAGGTAGGTCGCTGGTATATTTCCTTATCCAAGATTTTGCAATTTACTGGTATAATTTTCCTCTTGTGCGGGTATAAAAAAAACTCACTTTTTGAATGTTTAGAGCTTTTATAAAAAATAAAATCTTAAGAATTACACTAGTGGTTTGCTAAACATGCAACAGATTATGAAAAGTGCCTGTAGGAATAAACGGATCCTTCAACGGGTTGTTTGAGTTTGTTATATAACGATATGATAGGAGCCGGCCTCCTCTGTCTATGCGCTAGTTATTTTATTATTTTTTTTTTTTTGTCTTTTGTTTTCTCCTTGTGTCAAGAAGGAAGGAGGTGGTATAATCGAGTCATTTTCTAGCAAAAAATTCATGCACAGCATATATTCTAAAAATTAAAATTAACATGGGACATTTAGTTAGTGATGATATCAAAGATCTAATGTGGCTGGATTTTAAATTTCACCAAATTTTACAATTGAATAAGCATGAAGAACCTTTTACAAAACTTGTTAGGAATGAGATGAAGTAAAGATGATTGTTTTATTTAGTTGACTAATTTTTAACAAGATTTTTTAAATTAATAAGATACCTGTCAAAGAAGAGTATGCTTGTGTCTTTCTATAAAAATAAGGGTGATCCATAATTGTTCTAATTATAGAGACATTAAGTTTATGACCATACAATAATGTTTTGGTAGTTATTGAGTATGGTTTGAGAATAGAGAACAAAACTTTTATAAAGAATTAAGTTCATGCTAGGAAGATTTATTGTGGAGGGTATCTTTTTTTCATGACAGTTGATGGAGAGATAAAAAAAAATATACCTGCAAAGTATGTTGATGCAATGAAGGATATTATGATGGTGTCGCTTGTAGTGATAATCTTAAGTTATTTTCCAATCAGACTAGGTTTTACATTATACATTAAGTCTTTATTTCTTTCCCCCAAAAAAAAAGTCTTTATTTTTTTGTTCTAGTTACGATAAGCTAACAAAAGATATCTAAGATGAGAGAGATGCCATTATCTATGGTATTTGGAGATGATATTATGTTTAGCGATAGGTTATTCTATCTATTATTTTTTCTGTCTATCTTTGCTTTTCATTATTCAACATTGTTAGATCAGAATTTCAATTACATTTTTCATTTCTCTCTCCTATTGAGATTCTGATTTAACGGTATTAAAGGATGATAGACAAAAGTAGACAAAAAAAATGATAGGTAAAATAACTTATCCCTTATATTTATTGATAAGATCAAATCTTGAGTTAACACTTAGCTAAAATTATGAAAAAGTAATACTAAATACACGGAGTGTGAATTCGCCACGACAAGAGAAGGAGATCAACAATTCATGAATATGCTAGGACATTAGGTATCCAAGAAACATGCATTTAGACAGAGATGTGCAAAATAACCAAAAAATTAAACCGAATCATGAACCTAACCGAACTGCCCCTTAAAATAACCGGTTTTTAAAAATCAGTTCATGAACCGAACCAGTTTTTAAAGAACCAGTACATGAACTGAACCGATTTTTAGAACCAGTTTAAGAACTTAACCGTTTCTGAACCGAACCGTTTTCAAACCGAACCAAATTGATTTTTATAACTTTATTTTTTAAATTTTTAATTTTTTTATTTTCAAAATAGGGTCGACCGAAACGAACGGAACTGTTTCCAACCGAACCAAACCACTTCTGAACCGAACCAGTTTTAAACCGAATCGAACCATTTAAACTAATTCGGTTTGATTTTTTAAAAAATCCGGTTCGGTTCGACCCATGCACATCTCTACATTTAGATATCTAAGATCAATATTACAAAAGTAGGAAGAGATTGAGAATGATATAAGTCATAGAACTATAATAGGTTGAATTATATGGCCTACTACAAAAGAACTTTTGCGACTATAAAATCTCTCTTAGGCTAATAGAAATATTTTATAGAACAATAATAAAACTTGCAATACTATAAGGAGCTAAATATTGGATAGCAAAAAAAAAAAAAAAACATAAAATAAGGGTTGAGGAAATGATCATGTGAAGATAAATGTGTGATCATATAATTATTGGTAAGAGTTCAAAATCAACTACTACACAAAGGGTCAACGTCTTATTCCATTTTTCATTTTAAAAAAATGTTAGGTATATATAAAGTTTTTCCCATCACCAATTGGTTTGCTTGATTTATTATGTGATTAATATTTCTTATATTATATGAGATAATTTTTTCTTCTACACGTATATATAAAAGTGTGTGCGGTTTATATTTTCTTATTCTCTCTTCTCTTCATATGGCCTCTGGCCCCAACACACTTATATATATATATATATATATATATATATATATATATATATATATATATATAATTATAATTATTTCTTATAATATGAGAAATATTATCCTAAAAAAAAAGAAATATTAATACCATTAATTATTCATAAAAGCACTGCATTTGAGTTTAATTAACCAACCTTGTTTTCCCAATAAAAAGTTGATTTGTATAGAAATTGTTTCTGTCAATTTTTTTTAAGTAGATCAATTTAGTTTTTTTTGGTTTAGGTAGGATTGTATTTTTTTAGATTTTTTTCCCATCCCTCCACTACTGATTTTGGTTGAGTTGATAAAAGATTTGAAGCAGTGCATTAAAAAGAGGATAGGATATATCATTTAATTATGAGTAAATATTATTTTTGGTCCTCAGTAAATTTTGCGATACCCGCTTTAGTTCCTAGCAAATAAAAAGGCTCATCTTGGTTCTTAAGAAATTCA